TCGAAAACAAATAAACGATGACTTCTGACCGAGAGAAATAAAAATCACAAAATAACGATTAAATTTTATCAAAAAAAATTTAATTTAAAACACAATTCAACGATTATTCTAGACCAAAAAAATAAAATAAAACTCACCAAATAAATATTTAACGATTATTTTCGGCCCCTGGTCTTTATATTTGATTTTGTCACTAAAAAGTCATTTTTCGCGGCACCATTGACTTGCAACAGTTGACTCTTTTCATTCGTATATTTTTAATCTTGCAAGTCCATTTAGAGTGTGAGAGACTGTCTTTTTTTGATGTTTGATGTTGAAATTCTTTTATTTGTGATTCGTTTTTATATATACTCGACTTATGCACCTATTGCGTCACCACAAGGCTGTCTCAATGGGACTTTTTATGTATGTAATTTTACTTTATTTTATATAAACTGACATTAATACATATCCACCATATATAAAAAATATTTTTAATCACATGATACTATGTACATTACTATTATGATTTTTTAAAACCTTACAAGTTTATTTTTTACTATTGCATCGACATTTTTATAAAAACCTATAGATATTGTATGCTTTAATTTTGTAAGCGAAAATTTTGCAAAAAAAAATTATTTTATAAACATTTTTTGTAATAAACTTAGGGAATAAGTGTATCGGCGTAACATTAAGTGAAACGGATATATTTTTGTAAATATTAATTTTATGTAAACGCGCGTAAAAATGTCGAATATGTTGCCATAAAAAATATTATTTTACTTATGTTACAATTTAAATTTATGTATGTACTAAAATGCAATAAAATGCCAGTAAACAACAATTTATTAATAAAAAAAGAAAAAATGCAAATAAAGCGATATTATAATTCTTACAAAAAGATTACACTAAGTTTTATTGTTTGTTAGTTGTTTGTATATCGTCGGCGCGTACTAAAGAAGACTCGAACTCAAGAGTTTACTGCGAAAAAAGACGCGTAAAAACAATTCAGCGAAGAAAAACGCGTCATTAAAATACGCTCCCGAACCCTGTGCCACCGCTCCGATTCATCCAAACTAGCTTCACCACCTCATCCGCCTTCACAATGCCTTCTATGTTCTTATGTCCGGGAACTCAAAAAAAAGGGACAGTAGTTGCCTGAGACACTGAGCTCAGTATTAATTTGCATTCCCTAACTAGCTTTGATTTGGTGGTTACCAATAACGCCGCCTGTTTATCAGAATATATTGTTGCTATACTCCTGTACCCGACTCTATTGCCTACGATTTTATTGGCTTCTAGGATCCTTTTAACTTCCGCTTGAAAGATGATTGCATCATTTCCCAATCACAGAGAAAGAAGAAGAGATCGAGTTTCTCGGAGTAGGTTCCCGCTCCCACTCCGCAGCTCATCTCGGATCCGTCAGTGTATAGAGAGATCGCCTCTCGGTCGGCCACCCTTTCTCTTCCCCAGTCCCTTCTGGATGTAAATAACACTCGCACGTTACAGCTAAAGTCTGTCATTTATGATAAACCAATCTCCGAAGTATCTAGTCCCCCAAAGGTCTGACTCTCTGAGTCTGATCGCCGTTTTCATAGCCACTTCTTTCAGGTGGAGATCAATAGGGATTAAATTGAGGATAGCATTTATCGCTTCTGCCGAGCAAGGATCTCAGTGCCCTTTGTATGTTTCTTAGTTTGCTGGCATTATATTATTTGCTTAGTCCGGCCCATTAAACCAAGGCGCCGTATGCTAGGATTGGTCTTATGATAGCGGTATACATGCACATCACAAGTTTAGGTTTTAGTCCCCAGTTTCGGCTAAAGATTCTCTTACAGGATTAGTATGCTATTTAGGCCTTCTGCCTCCGGAATTCGATATTGATTTGTGAATTAAGTTTGCTATCCAACACGACTCTAAGAAACTTTTCGCTGGGGAATAACAAGAGTGTATTTTTGTGGTATTTTGTTTTTGTTTGTAAATAGGATAAGCTCTGTCTTGGCAGGGTTCATATTAAGGCCGTTTCTCGCAGCCAAGGCGTGTAGCCTTCTCAGGGTTCTTTCAAGAATTTTAACAAGGGTAGATACATGTAGCTACTATTACAACATCATCCACGTACGCCACAACTCTGACGCCCCCTCTATTGAGTTCTAGCACTATGCCGTTCATACACGATTTATAGAAGAAAGGTGGCGCCCGTCTCGGCATCACTATTCCGCTCTCAGTGAATTTGATAGAATCGGTGTTTGTATGACGTCACACTTATGCAACTTGTTTACGTTTATCTTGCAAAATGTCTTCTTCTTTCATTTTTGGCATTTCTCTCTCGCAACTGTACCAGTGTGACGTCACACAAAAGTAATTCTCAAAAATTTTCTCTGATGGGCGCAATCTTCTTAGGTGTGTATAGTACCTTTTCCAGTAAAGAATTGCAGCGAGAGCGTAAAAT